CTTTTTGGAGACAATTTAGATGTCTCTCCCCGACATGATGACACGTACCCCTCAGGAACTGCCCCTACCTTCCCTCCCAACCACTCTGCATATAGTTAGAGTATAGGAAAGAGAGAGCTTATGCTCCAGAAGGAGCTCAAGACCGGCCAGCATGCTCCCATAGGAAGGAGGAGATTTTCAAAGAATAGTTAGATTCTGAGGGAAGTTGACCAAGTGACAAGAACATAAAATTGAGTAAGAGCAAATGAATTGATTTGAGATTACTCTCCTGAGCTACAGGATTTAATACCATGGCAGGGACCTCAGGAGATAGGACTGGCTTGCTATTACAGTGGCCCCCAGAAAACATGGAAAAAGAGATTATCCACATGCAGTTGAAATGCTCAAATTGCCATGACAGATAGTTAAGGAAGCAATGAAATGGCTTGCTGAGGCAGGCATGAAGGTTCATCATAGGAATGCCTAGAGGATACACTATTAACAAGGAATTGCTGGTGAGGGGGCCTCAGCCTCACTAACATGTTCAGTGGTGGTTCTCCTCTGTAGTCCGGAGCTGGAGTAGGAGACATCAGTACAGACTGAGGCTTGTGGATCACAATGGGGATGTTAGGACCCTGATACCATAGAGGCCCGGTGGACACAATGGTTTGTAATGAGAGGTGAGTGTGGAGTGGCAGCCAAGGAAGGCTGCCCTACAGAGAATTACGAAGATGCTTAATGGAACTTGATATTCTTAGAAGCAGAATAGGCGGGAAGCTAACAAAAGCACTACTCAGCTTGTACCATCAAAAAAAAAAAAAAAATCAGAGATAATGACGAGGAGACTAAGGGCAGTTGCCTCAATATAAAGTCCCTTGCACTTACCCCAAACCTGTGCCAAACCTAGAAACTAGAAACTAACGATAAGGCCAGATCCCCAGGAGAAAGAGCTGGACAACCCCATGATGAGTATATGTGGCAATGATTCCCTCAGAGATTTCCCACAGGAACCTATGGCCATTTACTCAGATAACTGTATAAATAGGAAAGGGAAATACCCAAATATTTTGAGAACTATTGGATGGAGGGTGTCATCATGGCTCATTAGCATGGAACACAGTAGGGCCCGGTAATAAAAGAAGTCCTGGCTAAAGTTTAACTTACAATGGGTCCCCTGGCATGTAGACTCACCTGCTCCATGGGTCATTTCTTTGGTTTCAGAATGTACAATAAAATTCCTATACGAAGAAGTTTAATAATCCTCATATTGGGCCTTTTGCCTGTGGGTAAGGTAAAATGGAGGCCTTAGAAACCGCTCCTCTTTCCAGCCATGACAGTAAATCAAGAACAGTAATTCTGGTGGAGGGGGAATATGAGTGGAGGTTAATGCTACCTTTACGGAGCTAAAGTGGAGTTGGCAAACTATCTTTGAAAGGGCCAGATAGTAAATATTTTAGGCTTTGTGGGTTAGATGTCTCTGTTGCAATGACTTTACTCTTGTAGCAGAGAGCAGCCGTGAGCAATATATAAACAAATGAGCATGCATGTCTGTGTTCTGAAAAAACTTTTATTTATAAAACAGGTCAGCTCATAGCTTGCCAGCCCTGATCTAGAGAATGAGTTAGTGGGTAGCGAGGAGGTGCCCACCACTTCTTCGTTGAAGTCACCAGTCTGGCCCTGAAGAACTCAGATTCTGAGAGGATAACAGTAGATTACCCCAAAGCCAACCCACTACTATCTCTAGTTGCAGCTCCTGTGCCTGTTCTGGCCTCTTTGATACAGCAGATTAACATGTGCCTCAGATACATCATAAGCAGCTCCTAATTTGGTGAATGTGTTCTTTCTATTCTGATCAAAAAGAGGATCATAGAGTTCACACCCACATGGAATGGGCAGCAATACACCAACATAGTTTTACATTGTTGTCCCGGGCTATGTTCTTTTATGCCCTCCGTCATGACATAGTCTGAAGCAATCTGGACACTCCGTATGTTTACAAAACATCACATGGATTCAGTAGCTCAATGATATTGTGCTATTCGGGCTAGATGAGTCGGACTGCATGAGCAAGATGCAACTGGAAGCTTCAGTTAAAACACACATGCTGCAGAGGGTGGGGGATAAGCCCTGTGAAGATCCAGGGGCCTGCCACATGAGTAAACATTTTGGTATTCCTGTGATCAGGCATATGCTGAAACCTGCCCTCCAAAATTAAATGAGGAGGAAGGGCTGTTCTTATACAACGGGAGCAGAGAGAAATAGGTTGCATCACCCAACCCAGTGATCCACATAGCGGCTTTTGGTCACGCCTTTGCCCATCTCTGTTGGCAAGTGGGTAAGTTCAGCAACTCCCACCTGAGAAGAACACTGTGACCAAGGACTCAGATCCTTTACAGTCTACATCACACTGGGACATTAGCCACCAAGTCCGCAGAGCTCATAGTTAAAAGTGAGGGAAATCTAGAATGGATAGGGGAGGAGGGAGATGATGGGTATCACTTGCAGCCCTGTGTCCAGCTGTAGTGACAGTTTTTGTCCTATTAGAAAGGACAAACAAGGTCCTGATTGGGGAAAAATGGGCCCACTTTTGGGATGCAGACATCTGGGTAAATCCCCCTCAATATTTTGAGTGCCCAGACTTGTGAACTCAAATTAACATGGCAACAAACATATGCTAAGTTTCCTTCAGAAAGACAAGCACACCGTAACCCTGGAAAAGCTGAAGGCATATGAAGAAATAGGTTTGAGTGGTGCAAGGGGTGGACTGTGGTGAATATAAAGATGCCTGCCCAGATACCTCTTCAATAGGGATATTTTTGCAGCAGGTGCTGGGAGTGGTATCAGCAGATAGTCTCCAGCTATGATTGCCTCAAGAACAGAGAGTCACTTGGCCCCAGGTACACCCATCCTGGATTGGTCTGCACCCGGTGATTTATCTTGGTGGGGGTCTAAAGGCCTGATTATTTGGGTCCACTGCTGGACAATCCTGACAGGCTATATATGCACCAGTGCCCTCCTTGGATTTGGCCTAGGCTCTGTGCCTATTGCAGTTGAATTTCTCCCTTTGACCTTTCATAGGTGTTAATCCCTAATAAATATCCCACCTCACCATCTACTTGCGGATAATATAACCTGTGACATGCAGTTTCACTATGATGGCATGTATTTCTTTTTGTTTATCATGCTTGGTATTAATTTTCTTCCTAAATCTGTGGATTCATGGTTTTAATTAATTCTGGGAAATTTTGATAGCTATTATCTCTGTAAATATTACCTCTTCTCATGTAACTCTGCTTTTTCTGGGATTCTCATGAGGTATGTATTATTCTTTCTCTTTCTACCTTCTACATATTTTTCACCTTTTTCTTATTACTTTGTGCTGAAATTTTGGTAATTTTTAAAATAGACCACTTTCAGTGCACTATTTTTCTCTTCTTTGAACAGTAAACTGACGCTGCAGTCTTTAAGATTTCTATTTAAAAATTTTATTTTTTACTTCCAAAGTTTTAGCTGAAAAAAGATTAAATTTGTCTATTCATTTCCTCATAGTATTTTATCAATTGGTCATAGTTGTAATTGAATCCTTTACAACTTTGTGCATTGTATATATGGCTGTTCTATATTCTGTATCTAATAGTTTCAATATCTATGTCTGAAAGCGTCTATATCTGTTTTTGGGAGGGGGGGGTTTGTTTGATTTTTGTTTTTGTTGTTTCTGCCACCTCTTAGAGTGGCTTGCATTTGTGTGAGTTAGTTGATCTTTGATTGTTCATTCATTACTTGATCTTAATTAGTGAGAAATAAATTGAGGATTGGAAAAGTTTTCCCCAGACATGACTTGATTCTGCTGGTGACCAGCAGGCTCTATACTTGAAATCCCCTTAACCTGCTCTCACTCTCTTCACATAGCCAAACCACAGTTTTAATTATAGAGGCTTTATAATATATGTTAATAACTGGTAATACTACCCTTCCTACTGAGGGTCTCAGCTAGTCTAGGAAATCTGGAGTTCTTTTCCTCTGCCACAGAGGGCCATGCTATTGCTCAACCGGCCTTAGGTAACCCTGTCCCTTCCAGCTGCCCCAGCTCCTGAAACCTCTTATCTCAGGTGAGTTTTTGGAGCTTAGAGAAGGAGCTCTGAACACATCCTCTGTCTCTCATGAAACAGTCATGTCTCAGAGTGTATCTTCAATAGGATTTATTGTTTTGCAGTAGGGGAGTTGCTCAGAGCATGTAGTCAGCCATAATAATAAAGATGATAACTTTTACGTAAAAAAAAATACAACAGATAAGGGCTTATTAGGCCAAATGTGTATGACTGTGTTCAAATTCCATTCATGTTCACACACATGTATTGAGCATGACTGTAATGAGAGGAGTTGATGTTTATTGAAAGATACTTGTGAGCTTTATATAGATTTTTCCAAAAATATTTTATCTTTTTAAGTATGAAAAATTTCAAACACATGGAAAAGGTGCGTGGAAAGTATAATGGGCCTCTATGTACCTATCATCCACCTTCAATAATTTCCAATTTATGGCCACTCTAATTTTATCTATTCTCTCCTCTCACCTCTTATTATTTTGAGCAAATTCAATCCAGCATATTATTTCAACCATAAATATTTGAATAACTCTCTCTAAACATTAAATACTGTTTTCCGAAAACATAACCACAAGAGCAGGATTACACCTAAAAAGTTTACAATGATTCCTTTATATCATCAAATATATTAAGAATACTAACTCTTATCTGTAATATCAGTCGCAAATACTTTTTACAAATTTATCATTTGTTTTTATACTTTACTTATTGGATATTTTTGTGAAGCAAAGTTTTCTTTTTTTATCTGTTTTCTTTTTTCTTTCTTTCTTTCTTTCTTTCTTTCTTTCTTTCTTTCTTTCTTTCTTTCTTTCTCCTTTCTTCTTTCTTTCTTTCTTTCTTTCTTTCTTTCTTTCTTTCTTTCTTTCTTTCTTTCTTTCTTTCTTTCTTTCTTTCTTTCTTTCTTTTCTGAGAGAGAGAGTCTTGATCTGTTGCCCAGGCTGGAGTGCAGTGATGTAATCTTGGCTAACTGCAACCTCTGCCTCCTGAGTTTAAGCAATTCTTGTGCCTCAGCCTCTCAAGTAGCTGAGATTACAGACATACACAACCACTCCTGGCTAATTTTTGTATTTTTAGTAGAGGCAGTGTTTTTCTGCATTGGTCAGGCTGGTCTCGAACTCCTGGCCTCAAGTGATCCACTTGCCTTGGCCTCCCAAAGTGCTGGGATTACAGGCACTAGCCACTGCACCTGGCAGAGTTTCTTTTATTATATATAGTCAAATACATTGTATTAATCTATTCTTGCACTGATATAAATACCTGAGACTGGGTAATCTACAAAGAAAAGATGTTTAACTGGCTCTGCAAGCTATACGGGAAGCATGGCAGCATCTGCTTCTGGGGAGGCCTCAGGGAACTTACAATCAGGACTTAAGGCAAAGCAGGAGCAGGTGTCTTGCATGGCAGGAGCAGGAGGAAGTGGTGGTGGTGCTACACACCTTTAAACACTAGATCTCACAAAAACTCACTCCTATTATGACACAATACCAAGGGGGAAATTCACCTTGATCTAATTATCTCCCATCAGGCACCATCTCTAATATTGGGGATTACGATTCGACATGAGATTTTGGTGAGGACACAGATCCAAACCATATCATTCCAAATCGCATGTCTTTCTCATGTTGCATAATATAATCATCCCTTTTCAGCACTCCTCCAAAGTCTTAACTCATTCCAGCATTAACTCAAAGTCTAAAGTCTCATCTGAGACAAGGTTAGTCCCTTCCACCTATAAGCCTGTAAAATAATAAAACAAGTTAGTTGCTACCAAGATGCAATGAGGATATATGCATTGAGTAAATACTCCTATTCCAAAAGGGAGAAATGAGCCAACAGAAAGGGGCTATAGACCCCATTCAAATCCAAAACCCAGCAGGGCAGTCATTAAATCTTAAAGATTCAAAATAATCTCCTTTGACTCCATCTCTCACATCCAGGGCACACTGGTACAAGGGGTGGGCTCCCAAGACCTTGAGAAGCTCTGATCCTGTGGCTTTGCAGGGTTCAGCCCTCACAGTTGCTCTCATGGGCTGGTGTTGAGTGCCTGTGGTTTTTCTAGGTGCATGGTGCAAACTGCTGGTGGATCTGCCATTCTGGGGCTTAGAAGATAGTGACTCTTCTCACAGCTCCACTATGCAGTGCTTCATTGGGGACTCTGTGTAGGGGCTGCAGTGCCACATTTTTCCTCCGCACTGCTCTAGGAGAGGTTCTCCATGAGGGTTCCACCTCTGCAGCAGGCTTCATACATCCTCTGAAATCTAGGCAGAGGCTTCTAAGCCTCAACTCTTGCATTCTGTGCACACACAGGCTTAACACCGCAGGGAAACCACCAAGGCTTATAGCTAGCATTCTTTGAAGCTGTGGCTGAGCTGTACCTGGGCCCCTTTGAGCCATGGCTAGAGCTGGAGTGACTGGGATGCTGGGAGCAGAGTCCTGAGGCTGCAGTAGGGCTGCTGGGCCCTGGGCCTGGCCATAAAGCCATTCTTCCCTTCTAGGCCACTAGACCTGTGGTGGGAGGAGCTGTCACAAAGGCCTCTGAAATGCCTTTGAGGTCTTTTCCCCAATGTCTCTGCTATTAGCATTTGGTTCCCTTTTACTTATGCAAATTTCTGTTGCCATCTTGAATTCCTTCCCCCCAGATAGGTGTTTCTTTCCCACCATATGCCCAGGTTGACAGTTTTCCAAACTTTTATACTCTGCTTCCATTTTCAATATAAGTTCCAATTTCACATCATTTCTTTGCTCATGCATATGAGCATAGGTTGTTAGAAGCAGCCAGCCCACATCTTGAACAATTTACTGCTTAGAAATTTCTTCCACCAAGATGGTGTGGTGATTCCTCAAGGATCTAGAAATAGAAATACCATTTGACCCAGCAATTCCATTACTGGGTATATACCTAAAGGATTATAAAACATTCTATTATAAAGACACATGCACACGTATGTTTACTGTGGTGCTGTTTACAATAGCAAAGACTTGAAACTAACCCAAATGCCCATCAAAAACAGACTGGATAATGAAAATGTGACACATATATACCATGGAATACAGCCATGAAAAAGGATGAGTTCATGCCCTTTGCAGGAACATGGATGAAGCTGGAAGCCATTATTCTTTGCAAACAGACACAAGAACAGAAAACCAAACACTGCATGTTCTCACTCATAAGTGGGTGTTGAACAATGAGAACGCATGGACACAGGGAGGGGAACATCACACACTGGGGCCTGTTGGGGGGTGGGGGGTTAGGGGAGGGATAGCATTGGGTGGGGGGATTGGGGAGGGATAACATTAGGAGAAATATCTAATGTAGATGACGGGGGATGGATGCAGCAAACCACCAAGGCATGTGTATACCTATGTAACAAACCTGCACGTTCTGCACATGTACCCCAGAACTTAAAGTATAATAAAAAAAATTTTTTTTAAAGTAAACACACACACACACACACATACACACAAAGAAATTTCTTCCACCATGTACCCAAAATCATCACTCTCAAGTTCAATGTTCCATAGATTCCCTAAGGCAGGGGCACAATATAGCCAGGCTCTTTGCTAACACGTAAGAAAAGTCACCTTTGCTCCAGTTCTCAGAAAGTTCCTCTTTTCCATCTGAGACCTCCTCAGCCTGGCCTTCATTATTCATATCATTACCAGCATTTTAGTCATGACCATTTAACCAGTCTCTAGGCAGTTCTGAACTTTCTCTCATGTTCCTATCTTCTGAGCCCTCCACACTCTTCGAACCTTTGCCTGTTGCCCAGTTCCAAAGCTGCTTCCACATTTTCACATATATTTATAGTAATGCCTCACTCCTCTGTATTAGTCTGTTTTAATTTGTACAGAAATACCTGAGACTGGGTAATTTATAAGAAAAGAGGTTTAACTGACTCATGGTTCCTCAGGGAACTTACAGTCAGGGCATAAGGCAAAGTGCTTAGTGGCACTTCACATGGTCATAGCAGGGGGAAGAGAGAGATGGGAGAAGATGCTATGAACTGTTTTTTGTTTGTTTGTTTGTTTTTGAGACAGAGTTTTGTTCTTTCTTGCCCAGGTTGGAGTACAGTGACGAGATCTTGGCTCACTGCAACCTCCACCTCCCAGGTTCAAGCATTTCTCCTGTTTCAGCCTCTTAAGTAGCTGGGACTACAGGCACCTGCTACCACACCCAGCTAATTTTGTGTGTGTGTATTTTTAGTAGAGACGGGATTTCACCATATTGATCAGGCTGGTCTCGAGCTCCTGACGTGATTCGCCTGCCTCGGCCTCCCAAAGTGTTGGGATTACAGACGTGAGCCACCACACCTGGCTGGTGCTACAAACTTAATCAGATCTCATGAGAACTCACTCACTATCATGACACAGTCCCAAGGGAGATATCTACCTCCATGACTCTTTCACCTCCTATCAAGCACCATCTTCAGCCTTGGGGATTATAATTCATATGATTTGGACAAAGACAAAGATCAATGTTTGTTTTTACACTAAACTGGAAAGATACTAACAGAGGTAACTCATTGATAACCTCTACATGTAATGTCTGGTTGTTTTGTATATAACATTTCACTAGCATGATCTTATTTTATTTAATTTAAAAAAATCATACATCAATCCTTTCCCCTCATTGTTTCTAGGTATTTGAGTTGTAGTTAGGAAAGTTTTTCCTTTCCCAGATTATAAATTCACTAGCGTTGTTTTATTCTACTTATTATATGATTTTATTTTTTATGTTTAAGTCTCCTATCTATCTGGAATTTATCCTGGTATGTGGTGTGAGGAATGGATGCAGTTTTACATTAATCCTTGTCATTCTCCAGTTATCCTTTATCATTTACTAAAACATACAGTTTCCCCCACTGATTTAAAGTGGCAAGTTTATAAAACTTTAAATTCTTATATGAAACTCATTCTATTTCTACATTTTCTGTTTCTTTCTATTGGTCTGTCATCTCTCTCTTTATGTACCAAAACCAGCTTTCATTACAGAGGTTTTATAATGTATTTTAATATCTGGTAATACTACTACTTTCACACATAATTTATCTTTTTTTTGAAGTTTTTATTCCTGATATTCTTGCTTGTGTTTTTTTAAGACATATAAGGTTTCTAAAAGGGTTTTTTCCTGCTATTACTGCTTGTCTTACAAAAGAACTTTAAAATCAGGTTAAGATCCTCATTCATAATGATATAGTTTTTATTAAAATAAAATTACCTTACTTGTTAAGTTATATTTACTATCTTATTTTCCTACACATGTATTGGTACTTCTCAATGCACTTGCAAGAATATTTTTAGAGCCTATGGATTACATAATATTGTATCCCTTATTTTGAATAATTTTTAGTGTTTGTCTTTGTACTAAACTCAAGAAAACACTAACTGAAACAAAAGGCAGCTCACTAATAACCTCTACATGTCATATCTAGTTGTTCTGTGTGCAAGTAACTCTCATGTGACTAGCATGATCATATTTTATTTATTTAAAAATGTATTTCGTATTATATATATTTAAGATACACACATGATATTTTGATACACATATAATCAGTGAAACAATTACTATAGTCAAACAAATCTATCACCTTCCATAGTTATCTTTTGCATGTCTCTGTGTTAAGAGCACCTAAAATCTACTCTCTTAGCAAATTTTTGGTATATAATACAATATTTGTAACCGTAGTTCTCATGCTGTGCATTACGTCTATAGACTTTTTCATCCTACATAACTGCAAATTGGTACTCTTTGACCTATTTCTCCCAATTTCCTCTCCCTTTCTGCCCCTGGTAACTACCATTTGACTGTTTCTACTTATTCAACATTTTTTTTTTTTTTAAGAAAAGAAGTTCTGCATTTACACGAGATCATATAGTATTTTTCTTTTTGTGTCTGGCTTATTTCACTTAGCATAACATCCTTGGGTTCATCCATGTTGTTGCAAATGTCTCTCTGCTTGTTGGAAACCATATTCCTTCTCAGGGATAGCACGATGCTGTGAATTAAAGGCTTCTTAGTAAGTATGAATTGGCTTTGGTATGGCAAATACACATTATCATTACATTGCTTATATTTATAGAGTGATTACCGAAAGGGAAGCCCCGAACTAAGTGCTGTGCAAGGCGTAAAGATGAATCACACAAAGATCAAGGAGCTTACAACATAGTGAGGAAGATAAGATGTGGACCTAAATAATTATACCACAAGACCTATAACCCAGAATTCATGCTAAGCAATGAGAGAGAGAGAGAAAGGGAGAGAGAGAGAGAGCAAGAGAGAGAAATTAGATCTACCTTGGGGACTGGGCAGCAAGTTAGCATGCCAGCATTTTGTTTGTTTTGAGAATTAATCAACTAGGAACACACCCATCGAAGAATCAGGGCAGAACTACCAGTCTGTCAAACTGGTTTCCATGAAAAGAAATTAATTCATATTTCCTTGTAAAGCAGTTCTTTCCTCCCATATTTACTTACCATCATGTAGGTATGCCCTGGAGAAATGAATATTTTTGGCTGGTGAGAAGGTAATGAGTTACTTGTAAGCCATTATTACAAAGATGCAATTACTTCAGAATGATATTCACTGAGAACTCCAGAATAATATTGACTCCTTGTCTGGATGTAAGGCACATCGCTGCCTGATTGAGCCTGAGAAGAGCGGGTGCACCCTAACGCAGGAGAGGGAGGGTGCGGATTGGTTACGATTTCAAACTGAAATGTGTTTCTGGTCGCAAAGCAAAATGAATACTAAGAGACAAAGCAAAGCAGAGAAATCAGCTCTCTGGGACTGACACCTGAGCTCAACAACCAGCTAAGAACTCCCTTTGTTTCCTTTGTAAGCCGCCTCACCATCTCCTTTGCTGGGTATTCCCAAAAGATTGTCCAGCTCTTAAATCCCTTGTGTGGTGGTAAGAGGTCTGGGAAGTTTCTTGAGGGAAGAAGTGGTTTCTGTGGATGTGATCTGGTGGACACACAATGGGAAGCCTCTTTGGGAATCCCATGAAGCCCCTGTGGGCTCTTGCCAGGCCCTCTGCCTTCCTGTTCCCAGACTACTGCTGACTCCACACTTAGCATCCACTCACTTCAGCTTCCATGAAGACTGGCCCATCAGGAGAGAAAGGAAAACAACTGTAAGGGGAATCCCTCAACTCCAGGCATGCCCTTGTCCCAAAAGATGAATCCCTGGTTGGTTGTCAGGCTAACAAGCAGAGATGCATATTGCACTGTATTCTATAGAATGAGAATATGGCTTTATTTATAATTTTTAAATCCAGCTGTGATGCCTAATTTTATGTGACAATTTGACTGGGTGACAGGGTGTTCAGAACCCTGACTGATACACCAGCATTGTGATAATATTGCTCATTGTAATAAAATGTTCAATATGGCACAATTGCTACAGATATAAATGGTAATCTAATATATTCTCTTGCTACATCCTTGGGAGAATTATAAAGGATGACTTAGCTAAAGTTTAAAAAAGTCTGTGGTAGTACCTGGAAATAAAGAAGACTAATGAATACCATATTAATTTCCACTGGCCTATCTTGTGCTTTGTATCCTGAGAAACCCCCACTTTCATGCAGAAAACAGAATCTTTTGCCTTCCACATCCTGTGGGGATCTGAGAGAGTTTCTAGTGTTGTAGGAATTTTTGAGGCACATTAGATAGGCCTCATTACTAAAACTTCACTAGAGTGATCATTTGAGTTTTGTCAGTGAAATGTTACCATTCAGACAATGTAGAGGCGATGAAAACACACCCTAGCCACGGAGCCTGAATAAACACCTGAATAAACACCACAGCCTCCCGTGGCCCAGTGCTGCTCAGTGGATCATCCAAAGAAACTTGGTCTAGCATCCAAAAGCAATCAAAGGGCTGTTCACATCTTTAATTCTGTTTCTGAAAGAACTTTTATCTTCCAGTGATCCCATGGTTTTACTCTGTGATTCAGTCCACAGCCTGCAGAAACGTCTCTGAGGGACTTCATTCCTCACTAGGTGATCCAGAGCTTCTCCCTCTTTTGATGCCTCCTCTTCACTTTCTAATCAGCTCCCTTCTCCAAGTCTCAGCCTCGGTGGCGCTGGTCCTCAGGGCGCCTCCCTACTACCTTTTGCCTTTTTGATCTTGTTTTTCTCTTGTCCATTTACCTAATCCTGCCTCAGGGAACCTGGGAACTGGGCCATCAATGAAAGAAGGCCATTGGTAAAGTGGGGGAGAGAGAGAAGTTGAGGGGACAAAAGTGTACATCTTTTTCTAGATGAAATGTTAAAAATACTGATCTTTTATTTCCTCTCACTGTCATACTGCAAGGTGGCACCACAGGTCAGCCTGGAGTAGAAGACGTGTTAGCTGTCGCCTCAGCACCCAGGGAACGTTCCTTCCATCCACGGCTGCCTGCGCAGGGCTTCTGGATTGTCCATTGGAAGAAAGCTGGCATGTCTCTGAGACTTTGCTAAGCTTCATCCAAACTCTTGTGTGATTGTGAATCCTTTTCAGTGACTCGGCACTTGTACTCCTCATTTTACACACAGATGGCACTGGGTCTTGACAACCAGTGTGCTGTGATAGAATGGAAAGGAAAGTCCCTGTGCTGGTGCTGAGTTACACATACTACTGGCTCATTTTATCTTCTAGTATAACCCTCCAGAATAACCCTGTGGGATGGGCAGGGCAAGCATGAATATTACTATTCTCATTTTCTAGCACATTAGACTTGGCATTTCTGTTAAATGTTAGTGAGCGCTTCAGAGCAGTCGGGAGAATTGTTCAGGCTAATTGTAATTATATTAACTTACCTAAGCATCCTGGGTATTTTTCCCTTTTTTATATTAAAAAAGTCCACTTTAAGATATGGAATAAACATGTTGTTTTTTTCCACTGGAAATCATGTGCCACATCTTTCACAAAGAAAAACATTAAATTTATAAGCATACTTACACTGTAATCATTTTCTGTGATTACTTTTCATTTTTATGCTAATATAACTAGAATTTATATATTGCATTATTTTTTCATAGTGCATCTATTCTGATAAATACAGAAAAAGGAAAAAACACCCAAAAACTTCTCCTGAGAAGAGCCGTAAATATACCTTTTTATCATCGTTAATAGCAAAGCATTTTGTTCTTTCTTCTTTCACTCTCTGCCTCTCTCTCTGACTTCATCAGAAACAATCTATAATATTTATGGATATTACATAGATTTAGAAATAGATTTACTTATAGGATCAAAGTAGGTATTGACCCTAGTTCACTAAAAACAAGGTCATTCGTCAGTTCCTGTGAATCTCCCAAGTCTGCAGCCTCTTCAGTTACATGGCCTGACCATTCCTTGGTCTGTGGGGTTTTTGGAGGACCGTTATACTGATTACAAAGCCACCTCTCAGTGAACTGATTGCGCTGAATGGCACAAATTACCTTTGGGCAACGAACAGGTATATCAGGGAGGCATTCAAATGCATGACCCTTAAAGCCTGAGGAATATATCCAAGGTGAAATAAAAGGGGGGCTTTGTCATAATGGCTCAGGTGTCCATATTATGGACACCAGCCAAATAAAGGGGATCTGTAGACACTCCCATGTCTTCTGAAATTATGGGGGCTGGAGGACCAACTGAAGGCAGGTCTGTGTCATGCGGAGGAGGCGGGATTACACCCACAGTTGCTCAGCATTGTTGTTCTTTTCACTTGAAAGCTTTATTTTAATAATCATGTTGGAGTTTCTTCTGACCATGAAAAACCAGTTGAGTTGAAATCTGTGGCAGCATCTTCTTTCCTTGCTAAAGGAAAGCAGGAACCCTCCTGTTCTCGGTACAGATATGAAGAACTCCAGAAGCTTAGTTTTCCTTCACTTTTTTTTTTTTTTAATAAAAGAGAATTGGAAGTAGATGTCAAAGAGAAAAGTTTAACAGTGATGAAGATTCTCTCTCTCTCTCTATCTTTTGAGACAGAGTCTTGCTTTGTTGCCTATATTAGAGTGCTAAGGTGCTATCTCTGGTCACTGCAAACTCTGGCTCCTGGGTTCAAGCAATTCTCCTGCCTCAGCCTCCTGAGTAGCTGGGATTACAGATGTGCAGCACCACCCCTAGTTAATTTTTCGATTTTTAGTAGAGACAGGTTTTCACCACATTTGCCAGGCTGGTCTCGAACTCCCAACCTCAGGTGATCCACCCGCTTTGGCCTCCCAAAGTGCTGGGATTATAGGCGTGAACCACTGCACTTGACCCAGCCACCACACGTGGCCTAGATTTCTGAAATGAGAACTTGGATTGTGCCATGAGGCCAGCAGGGCCCTTCCCACCTGTTTTTCAGACACAGATGCCAACCTTCTCTGCATGCCCCAGACCTCACGGCCAGTGTTCACCCTGAAGATCCACAGGATGAAGGCCCGAACTGGTCAACTGGTACGTGACTGCATGTTTTCCAGTACTGCTCACTGGAGGTCACATGAGCTCTCCTCTAGGGGTCCTGTCATACATAACCCCTGCGTTCACCCCCACAGAGACCAGGGCTGACTTCATGACAAAATCGCAATGGGTGCTGACCACCAAAACCCCTTTTGGTCTCAAAGTGCTTCAGCCTCTAAAATGTGGATCATGTTTTGAATCATTAAGCAATGTGTACATCCTTCCTCCTCTAAGTCGTGTTCCCTGGTAGCCATTGTAGCTCCAGAGAAGAAAAGTGGATACCGGTTTCAGGAGAGAATGGATGTGACCAGAGCTGCTAGTAGCCCTTAGAATACCTTTGTGCAAATTTTAAAAAGGGTCTTCTTGCTCTAAGTAGACACAGCCCAGTGTCAGCTCAGCTCACTCATAGCTGGGTGAACATAAAAGTAGGTACGTGCTCTCTCATTTTGGCATTCTTGTGCAGGCCACAGTCTGTACAACTGTACATTGTGGCTCCCTTTGTAAGCACTAACTCTGGCCAACCTGAGAGAAGAAAAAAGATAGGTCGGCTGGACACGGTGGCTCACGTCTATAATCCCAGCGCTTTGGGAGGCTGAGACAGGTGGATCACCTGAGTTTGGGAGTTCAAGACCAGCCTGGTAAATGTGGTGAAAACCCATCAAGAGATTGAGGTCAAGAGATTGAGACCATCCTGGCCAACATGGTGAAGCCCTCCCTCTACTAAAAATACAAAAAATTTAGCTGTGTGTCGTGGCATGTGCCTATAGTCCCAGCAACTCAGGAGGCTGAGGCAGGAGAATCTCTTGAACCCGGGAGCCAGAGTTGGAGTGAAAGAGTGAGCTGAGATCGCACCACTGCACTCCAGCCTGGCGACAGAGTGAGAGTGAGACTCCATCTCAAAAAAAAAAAAAAAAAAAAAAAAAAAAAAAAAAAAAAAAAAAAAAAAAAAAAAAAAAAAGGGTCATTTCTCTGGTCCTCAGTGGCTTGTGGGGCGGAGAATGAGATGAAGGTAAGAGAAGCATGAACTTTGAGTCCTGACATTTCATTTTCAGATGGATGACACATTTTGGATAAGTTTAGGAGAAAGCTCAAAGACAAGGACATTTACCTCATTCGTATTTGGGAGGATGCCTCCTTGCAGAGACATTTTGTACTATCCACAAAGTGATGGACAGTGTGGCTGGGCAGACAGCAATGTTGTGCTAGCATGCCTCTGCTTTTGTGTGGTTGCAGAGCCCCAAATGTCCTGCACGGCTGTGGAGGAATACATGGGGACTGAGAATGTGGCTGGGAAACTTGCCAGTGGAAATCGCCACAGTAGGGCCATTGTGACCTGTGGCTAGGAGTGCAGAGCAGCATCTGGGATAGGCATCCAATGGAAGTCATGGCCAAACCTCCAGAGACCCTAATGCCAGGGAGAGCCTGGGGATATCCAGAGAGCAGAGGAGTGGGTTCTGCCCTGATTGAACCCAGGGATCTGACTGCCTGTTCACGACCCCTGGATCTGCCATCCAGTGCCAGCAGAGTGCCCAACAGCCAGAGCCAAGAGACCTGGGAGCAGGCAGATGGGCCCAAGGCCATCACACACAGCTCTCAGTGCTGCCCTTCTTCTGCCACTCAGAGGCCCTGTAGCCTCCCTTGATTCTCCAGGATGCCACCTCAGAGAGGAGTAGGAAATCCAAAAAAACAGCATTTGCCTGAAAGAGAATGATTTCTCCACAGAGACTATTTAAATGATGGCATAAAGCTACATTGATGAGGCTGGGATTTCATGTTGTCCTCCTTACACAGTGGATAGGCTTACAACAAAGACTAGATCAGCTTTAGGAGATAAAGAAGCTACATTTTTGGGAGGCAGGAGAATCGCTTGAATCCAGGAGGGCAGAGGTTGCAGTGAGCCAAGATCACAGTACTGCCCTCCAGCCTAAGCAACAGAGTGAGACTCCCATCTCAGAAAAAAACAAAAAGCAAAAACAAAAAATAAGCTACATATTTTTTGGCCTCTCTTCATGGAGTTGACCCCACCTTCGCCCTCATTCCATATCCTCCGGGCCAGCCACTGTATGACATGGGTGGAGCAGGTAAAGCTAAAGATTTTGTGACTTGGCCAAAGCCAAACATCTGGTTGTTGGTGAAGCTTGGACTGGACCCAGCCCTTTTGTTCAAGTCTATTCTCTAGACTGTCCCTCAAAGACCACGAACAGACTGGCACCAATCTAAGAAGACATTTTTACCCATCTGTCTTCAGCCAGGCTTCCCAGAAGATGACCCTGAGACAAAGATGTATGTACAAGTGAAATATTAAGGAATTGCTCCGAGGAGAAACCAGAGAGTGGGGGGAAACAGGACAGGGATTGGAGGGAAGCCAGTCAAGGGCATGACTCCAGGGGAAATCCCAGTCTCAGCCTGAGCATGCGGACAACTCGGTATCATGCATTCTCCCCAGTGACAAATCCTTACAGCTGACAGTTTTCTCCTCTCTTGTACTTTACCAAGAATGACTTGGTTATCCATTTGGATAAAGCTTCATGCATTTCTCATCTGCCAGCTGAAAATTGCAAACAGAGGCTGTTTACCTCCAGGAAGGCAGCAGGGCTTTCATCCTCAGGCACCTTCTGTCAGGTGATAGACCACACTAGGGTGTGCAGTGGGGGATAAACTCCCAAGCATGAACCCAAACCATCTCTAGAAGCCCAGGGGCTGTCCTCTGAAGGTGCCGCTGGTGGAAGCTATCAAAAGCAAAGCACAGAAGCTAGGGGGTGAGCACAGAGAACCATAGGAGGGATCTGAGATCTGGGCACAACCCCAGAACCCCCAACAGCACCTGCTCTCCCTCTGTTGTTTAAGGTTATCAACTATTCTCTTTCTTAAGAACAGTCCTTTAGCCTGAACTTTCGTTCTTTTGGTATTAAAGTGCTATCCCTTTTATGAAGAACTGGCAATAGTGGCTAATAAGACTTGGTATTGATCCGATGTTTTACTTGGAAAAAGGGAAGTTGCCAACTGTCTCTTAGTTCCTCAACCCCCCTTTCTTTCTCACGTATTACTTGTCCACAAATCCCAAAAAGTCTGGGAACCACCATATTAGTACATGTTGCTTCTCCTTTTGATTGGTTTCCAAAGTACTTCCTAACTATTCTCTCTGTGATTTAAAACAAAACAGGCAACTAAAACAATAAAGAGTTTGGAATCCAGCTCAGTAATAATTGTGTAAACATTGCTTTTCCTCCCAGGAGGGCCTCTGTAGTCATCAGCAATGTGCGTTTTCCCATGCAACTTGAAGGCAGGGGGGCAAGGGGAAAGCTGACCCAGAAGGAATGTCCCGATTGCCACTCTGGCCTCACTTCTTCTCCATGACTCCTAGGCTAGGTGGCACTGGCTGCAGTGGTAGGTGGGAAGTTATCTGTTGCCCACCTCCTACCCTTCAAAACCCATCAATAAATTCCCAGAAACCATCGGCTTGTGAGTGTATGAGGGTGTGTGTGTGTGAGTGTGTGAGTCTGTATGTGCGTGTGTAGTGGGTAAGTATTGCATGAGAAATAGAGAATGATGAGAAAGGATAATAGTGATGAGACTCCAGCTAAATGTGAAAATTAGAAGTTCCTTCATCTATGCCTTGTTCTTGTTCAAAGGAGTAAGTTGCATCAGCTTAATATTCTCCCCAGTGACAAATCCTTACAGCTGACAGTTTTCTCCCCTCCTGTACGTTACCAAGAATGACTGGGTTTTCCATTTGGATAAAGCTTCATGCGTTTCTCATCTGCCTGCTGAAAATTGCAAACAGGAAAATTCTGTTTGTTGGAGCAGGTCCTGGAGCAGAGGAATAGTTTCAGTTGATCAAAATAGTTTATAGTGTCTGATGGTTTTTACTTGAACTGTAAGAATCCAGGATTTATTTATGTAAAGGAATATCATTCTGTTCAATTTTATGCTGTTAACTCTTAAAAAATGTGTGGCCACCAATAAGTTATTCCAATAGTCTCATTTTAATGAACAATAATTAACATTTATGTTTTGATTTCATATGATCGTATAGAAAATTTTATTTAAATTATTATTTTATATAATTATATGTCTAAAATATTTATTCAATATCAAATATGTGCCAGGTGCAGTTTTAGATGGTGGGGATCCAGCAGCAAATAAAACAGTTAAAGTCATAGTATTGTTGTCAAAGAGTTGAACTAGCATTTCCTGTGAAATTGCTTTTGAAATAATGTATTTTCATGGGGGCAATCTAATGCTATATGATGTAGAAATTAAATTTACTAACAGATATTGAATTACTATTATTTTGTTCTTAAAGTCAGAAGGAAAGTGCTACCAAAGCCAGAAAATATCATGTTTTAATGCAGGTGTTTATTTACTTATTTTGAGATTTAATCTTCTCTCAAAATAAGTAATACTTAAATAGAAAATAATTCTTGAAGTTCACAAGTTCCTAAATCTATAAGATTTAAATACTTAAGAGCCAGCCAGAGAACCTGGATTTCATCAGCCAGACAACAGCAAGGCAATCATGTAGAAAAGCCCTGATTTCCTTCCCTGAGAGGAAGAGTGACTTGTGGATTACCTAGATAATTGTCTCAGTTTCTACCTATAAAGATTACCTCACAGATAAGCAAAGATAACATGAATTTATTTAATGTTGTTTAGTTCTCTAAATTTTTTAACAATGGTAAAGAGATTTAACTTTAATTGCATCAAATCACCA